GGGCGGAGAATGAGCGTTCGGCGATGCCTAGTTCATTTTTGCGGTAAAAAAGACCGTGTAAATTTTCTTTTGTGACAGTCTGTTGCAATATAAGATGATCAGTTCAATACCTGACTTGAGCGCGAGCTATCTACTTTCCGTACCGCTCGGTGCACGCACAGCCAAGGCACGGCTGCAGGCAACGAGCGCACGCTGCAGGCGGAGCTTGTCCTGGTCTTTATTTTTTTCTTCTGGAAATTAGTGTTCGCGGGTACGGCCGTGGACAATGGTACTCCTCCCTGTGCATCAGCGCAGTTGTTTCACCGCTGAACCTGGCCGAAGTTAACGATGGACGGAATCAGACGCACATAGTGTTCGTAAAAAAAGATCGCAATTTAGGCTCGAAACCCCTTCGTGGTTTGCCAAGTGGCTCAACACTATTGTTTCATTCGCTGTGCGCTACAAGAAAGAAATTTATATCGCAAAATTAATTGAAAGTAACATGAAACAGCATCACAATCGCGTGCACGTTGAAACCGAAACCGTGCAAATTGAAGCAACCTAATGGCGGCGAGTGAGCCAGCGCCCTCTACCCGCCGGTCAGACAACTACTGAAATGAAAAGGTCTATATGACATTTTCGTACGGGGAGTTCCAGATCTGCTTAAAAGGGTCATGAAACGCTTTTCCAACTTTTTCCTGTTTAGCGTTCCTCCTCAACTCATAAATTGCGCATTCCACTAAGCAGTTCAAGAAGATAAAAAGAGGGGAGGCCCCTCTTGCTCGGAATCTGGTTTGTGTACTCGGACAGAGGCATTGTCCTGCTAGAAGATTAGCCCGTCGCTCGAAATTCAGACAAAAGTTGCTCTCCCCAACCCATTCCCACGGAAGCTGACAGTGCTGTGGAAGCTACGTGTTCGCTGGGCCAGCCACACTTGATCACGCTCCTTCGCGCATACCCACGCGCAGAGAATGAGGTCAGGTGATAAAAGGGAGGCGGCTTATCGGTCCGGCAAGCGCATAGCTTCCACCACAATATCAGCTTAGGGGTGAAGGGAATAAGAAAGGTCCGGTTTCGTGTGACGTGCGTTTGGACCCGATGACGCACTTTTGGGACCGCGGATGTATCAAAGTGAAAAGGCAGAGCTCACGAAGGGGAGGAGGTACGAGTCCGCTGTGTTTTCAAATTTTCGCACTGAAAGTCAGGCTTTTGACTTTCTACCTTTTTTCTTTTGGCCCACTGAACAATGTGTTATTAGTAAAATCCCAATCTAAAATGATTTATATCAACCCAAAATTTGTTTCATGGGCCCTTTAAAACGTCCCCGTTCGACTTCAAGGAAGCAAAAATAAGGAGAAAAGAACTGATATTGTAGTGAGTGCGCAGGCGAGCTGGTGGAAATTAACCATTCTGATGTTAGCCTGAGACTGAGGCAGGAAAAGAGGAAGTTTCAAAGTAGAAGAAAAAGGAACTGTCGAGGATACGTCTCTAACACAGCTAAAGACAAGTTTATTCGGTCACCCTCTTATATTCGCGACTCCAGCAAAACGGACGCCGCCAAGCGGGAAAACCGGGAACCAGCCGGTCCAGGTCGCTCCGCGCCCCGCCGCGTCACTGATGGCTTTCACGGACGCGTGCTGTCGGCGCGGCGGCGAGCAATGTAATTTGACGAAGGTCCGAAAATTTCTTAAGTTTGCCCGAGTGTTCATTAGTGTGGTGAAGCCTCAGTAGATTGTTTCTTTCCATCACGTGTTTGAAAGCCCGTTTATTCCACAACACACGATCGCGTGCTTTCAATTTTTTGGATGGGGAGGAATCACGGAAAAGCGGTTTGATTTCTCGTCTGTCTCTAATCACAATCAAAGTGACGACTGCTTGGTAACTGATAAGCGGTTTCTTTATAAGGATGTAGAACAATAGAATGAGGTCGACAGACAAAGTGTTTCACTGGAGGGGACACCAATGTTGCAGTCAAGTGAATGGGAAGGTTCGATAGCTGCTTTCCTTGAGTTTGGTTGTGCTCGATTAGCTTCAGGTTAATTTGAGCCACTAACGCCGGCCGGTGCGTTGGCTATTCATCTTGGCGGCTTTTCGCCGAAAAAGACCACACTGAGGGAGTTGGGCTAATTTTGCAATTACTTGATTCAGAAAACCTGCTCGCTGCATATGATTAATGAGGGAAATTATCTGCTTTCAAAAGGTGGGGGACGCGTCTCGCTAAGATAGAAGCTGTCACGTAGGATCTATCGCGCCTCCAGTACTTATAACCCCTGTCGAATCCAGCAGCAATATACGTCTACAATGCTCAGGTTGACCGGCCACAAAAAAAAAAAAAAAAAAAAATGCTGTTTTTATTCGTTCAGGATTTGAAGTCAAGTTCAATGCAGAGAGGTCTGAGTGAATCTCCGATGAAGACTCTCTTCAGCTTGTCCGCATTCGTCTCCGTTCTACCGGCTAGAACCATTTGGCTAAGTTTAAGTAGTATCTCTCTGTCTGTCAAATATACTTTTATTCAGCAGTTCACCCTAATAGTTAGTCAACTAAGTTCATATTTCAACCCGATGAACATACTAATATCGTTTTAGTGGGACCATAGTACGTAATATAATACATAACCGCATATTCATCAAAATGACTCCTCGATTGCTACTGAAACCTGAATTGAAATACGAGTATCAGCTACTTAGTGAAGTGCCAGCGAGTTGACATGCTCCTTGGCTCAAGAAGCGCTTGCTTAATTTTCGTAATTTTCCTGCAGCCTGTGTTCTTGACCGAGCACACGACTGCAGCTGTTTCTTGAAACGCGGACAGGCACAAAAGCTCAATTTCGCGGACAGGTAAGTCGCATGATCGAGGCATGCGAGTTAGCTAAACATTACTCTTGGTGGAACAATTTTGTAGCCCTCGCCGCTTTCCTTATATGATCAAAACTAATTAGTCTATTACCGTTTCTCCGGAGCCCATAGTTTCGGTTTTGATCGAAGTCTCCGCAGCGAAAGTTTGACATGAAAAGAACAAAAAACACCGGCAAAACAAAACTATGCTCGGCAAGTTTATGCGCACCGGCTAAACTTAACTGTCTCAGTTCAAATACCCATAAAATTGGGCCTTCTACAAAAGAATATTTGTTAAATTGAATGCGCCACCCACTCAGGCGGCCCGGCCGAGCCGACGCGACCTGGACTCAGCCGCCATGTTTGTTTGGTGGTGGCGCCCCCTATAGGTCGCTGGAGTCGCGAATACACTCCACAATCTTCACCACAGAACCTTCGCGACCTCCAAAGCCAAAAGATAACAAAGAACTCATCTCTTTCCACCACAATAATCAAACGACCTTGACAATCCTACAAAGCCCCCTCACCAACACAACCTATCTCCTCTCTCCCGGAAGACGATCGACCTTCGCGTACATAGCACACCCTCCTCCTCTCCTCCCCGGCCCACAATCCCGAAACAACCCGGCAACAAAAGATACCAATCCACCTGATCCAAACCAAAGACACAAGGAGGAAACCACTTACACCCTTTCACAATCAACAACCACTTAACAAAACTCTCAAATCCGCAAGAAGGTTTTTGCACTGCTGCTAAGCTGTAACGACACTTGACTAATGCAGTTGCCCATTGATTTCATTCTTATTGTTTCCTTTACAACCCTTTTGATGTCGTTTACTTCCCTGTGTATTATTTCTGTTTCGGACCAGCGTGGTATACAATTATTACATTCTTGAACATGTTTCGCTATTTCCGAATCAGTCGCGTTGTTTTTTACATTTCTTTTGTGTTCAGTCAATCTATCATTTATACACCTCGACGTTTGACCCACATACTTAAAACCACATTCTAGGGGAATTTCGTATACCACTCCATTATCACACGGAATAGACTTTTCTCGATGCATTTTTGTGCATTCCCTTACACTCTTGTGGAAGGGCGTGAGCTTACTCAATTTATAGTCGGAACTAAAAACGAGATCAACATCGAACTTTTTTGCACAAGCCTTCAAGTTGTGAGAAATTTTGTGATAGTACGGAATTACAGTAGTTCTATGTTTTGGCCTTTGCTTTGGTTCTGCTCTACATTTGTCTGCGAATTTTACGGATAACTGTTTCCCTACGAATTCATCCTGATAACCAGCACTGTTTAGCCTTCTCCACTGCCTTTTCACTGATTCAGCCAAGAAATGAGTACATGATCTGTCCATTGCATTTGTGATTAAAGACCTGACAATACCTGCTTTGACTGTTTTTGAATGGCAACTGTTTTTTGATAGCAGCGGTTTTGCGTTTTCTTTTCCATATTCCCAACATAGCCCTTTTTCATTGTGAATCATAAGCTCTAAAAACTGCAGTTTACCATTCATGGGTCGTTCGACTGTAAACCTCAGTTCCGGGGCAGCCGATCTGATCAATGCTTCCAGAGTGTCAGACAATCCCTCCCGAAAAGAACAGATCAAAATGTCATCGACATATCTTTTCCCAAAACAGGATTCGGACGTCAGTTCTTGCAACTTATCAGATACAATGCAATCCAAAGAATTTAGGTAAATTTCCGCTAACGCCGGTGCTACACTCGACCCAATGCATACTCCCTCTTTCTGTAAATACTTTTTTCCTTGATACTCTACTATTGTTGACTGCAAGTAATAATCAAGAACGGCAAGAAAACTGTCCACCGATATGCCTGACCGCGATTGGAACCTTACCAAATTCATTTCAAGCACCCCTTTTACCCTTTCCAACAGACGACTCTTCTCTAATGAGTAATAAAGATCCTTGATGTCCATTGACAACATATCTCCTTCCTTTCCATGATGACCTTCGAGTACCGTGATCAACTCACTCGAATTTCTCAGTGACAAAGACTTATCTAAAATTGCATGATTTAAACCTTTTTGAAGAAACACGGAAACTACCTTCTGCCAAGTGCCATTCTCATTGATCACCACTCTAAGTGGCATCTCCGGTTTATGATCCTTAATGAAGAACTTTACGCTCAACGCCGATTTCGACAGATTTACCATGGTCTTTGCTAATTTTAAGGACGTAGCAAAGACCATGGTAAATCTGTCGAAATCGGCGTTGAGCGTAAAGTTCTTCATTAAGGATCATAAACCGGAGATGCCACTTAGAGTGGTGATCAATGAGAATGGCACTTGGCAGAAGGTAGTTTCCGTGTTTCTTCAAAAAGGTTTAAATCATGCAATTTCAGATAAGTCTTTGTCACTGAGAAATTCGAGTGAGTTGATCACGGTACTCGAAGGTCATCATGGAAAGGAAGGAGATATGTTGTCAATGGACATCAAGGATCTTTATTACTCATTAGAGAAGAGTCGTCTGTTGGAAAGGGTAAAAGGGGTGCTTGAAATGAATTTGGTAAGGTTCCAATCGCGGTCAGGCATATCGGTGGACAGTTTTCTTGCCGTTCTTGATTATTACTTGCAGTCAACAATAGTAGAGTATCAAGGAAAAAAGTATTTACAGAAAGAGGGAGTATGCATTGGGTCGAGTGTAGCACCGGCGTTAGCGGAAATTTACCTAAATTCTTTGGATTGCATTGTATCTGATAAGTTGCAAGAACTGACGTCCGAATCCTGTTTTGTGAAAAGATATGTCGATGACATTTTGATCTGTTCTTTTCGGGAGGGATTGTCTGACACTCTGGAAGCATTGATCAGATCGGCTGCCCCGGAACTGAGGTTTACAGTCGAACGACCCATGAATGGTAAACTGCAGTTTTTAGAGCTTATGATTCACAATGAAAAAGGGCTATGTTGGGAATATGGAAAAGAAAACGCAAAACCGCTGCTATCAAAAAACAGTTGCCATTCAAAAACAGTCAAAGCAGGTATTGTCAGGTCTTTAATCACAAATGCAATGGACAGATCATGTACTCATTTCTTGGCTGAATCAGTGAAAAGGCAGTGGAGAAGGCTAAACAGTGCTGGTTATCAGGATGAATTCGTAGGGAAACAGTTATCCGTAAAATTCGCAGACAAATGTAGAGCAGAACCAAAGCAAAGGCCAAAACATAGAACTACTGTAATTCCGTACTATCACAAAATTTCTCACAACTTGAAGGCTTGTGCAAAAAAGTTCGATGTTGATCTCGTTTTTAGTTCCGACTATAAATTGAGTAAGCTCACGCCCTTCCACAAGAGTGTAAGGGAATGCACAAAAATGCATCGAGAAAAGTCTATTCCGTGTGATAATGGAGTGGTATACGAAATTCCCCTAGAATGTGGTTTTAAGTATGTGGGTCAAACGTCGAGGTGTATAAATGATAGATTGACTGAACACAAAAGAAATGTAAAAAACAACGCGACTGATTCGGAAATAGCGAAACATGTTCAAGAATGTAATAATTGTATACCACGCTGGTCCGAAACAGAAATAATACACAGGGAAGTAAACGACATCAAAAGGGTTGTAAAGGAAACAATAAGAATGAAATCAATGGGCAACTGCATTAGTCAAGTGTCGTTACAGCTTAGCAGCAGTGCAAAAACCTTCTTGCGGATTTGAGAGTTTTGTTAAGTGGTTGTTGATTGTGAAAGGGTGTAAGTGGTTTCCTCCTTGTGTCTTTGGTTTGGATCAGGTGGATTGGTATCTTTTGTTGCCGGGTTGTTTCGGGATTGTGGGCCGGGGAGGAGAGGAGGAGGGTGTGCTATGTACGCGAAGGTCGATCGTCTTCCGGGAGAGAGGAGATAGGTTGTGTTGGTGAGGGGGCTTTGTAGGATTGTCAAGGTCGTTTGATTATTGTGGTGGAAAGAGATGAGTTCTTTGTTATCTTTTGGCTTTGGAGGTCGCGAAGGTTCTGTGGTGAAGATTGTGGAGTGTATATAAGAGGGTGACCGAATAAACTTGTCTTTAGCTGTGTTAGAGACGTATCCTCGACAGTTCCTTTTTCTTCTACTTTGAAACTACCTCTTTTCCTGCCTCAGTCTCAGGCTAACATCAGAATGGAGAAAAGAACCGGCGTTCTACATATCATCGCCGTTTCACAGAAACCCTTGGCTCGTTCCAGTTGAAATAGGCGAACGCTCATTCATGTGGAACCAATGTGGAAGCACATTAAAGGCCTGTTCCCACATGCAGCGGAGCGCTCCAAGCATAGCGCTTACCTCGCGCTAAGCGCGTGCTAATGGGAGCGTTCACCAGCTTTGTGTCGCACCGTCAAAACTGTTGCTCATGGCAGACGATAAGTAGCTGACGGCACGTGAGGAGCGCTACATCAGCGCTTCGCTGCATGTGAGAACCGGCCTTAAGAGTGTAGGCGACCTGTTGACGCTCCAAAAATTTCCAAAGTTTGTGTTAAAAAAAGTGATAAGAAGTCTCGTTTGTCGAAGTTATCGCTGACGTCAGTGTGACGTTTCAGAACTTTGCGAGAGCCGTGGTTTGAGGCCGAAATCTTCGCTTCTGATCGAGGCGAAGTTGAACTTTGTCAGTATGGCGGTGCCGTACGCTGAGGCCGAGCTTATCTTCCGCCACTGTCGGCGTCGCTACCAAGACCACCGAGACGCCTTTCAACTCCCCGACGATGACTTCTGGCGACAGTACCGGCTATCGAAAGCCGTTGCGCGTTGACTCTGCAAAGAGCTTCGTTCGGCGCCCGGACTTGGAGGTGGCGGACATTCGCGTCTACCATGACCGTGGAACAACAAGTTCTCTGAGCGCTCCGGTTCTTCGGAACCGGTAGCTCTTAGGGCATGGTGGCGGCTGACGAGCACCTGTCAGTTTCCCAAGTGACTGTGAGCCGGGTTGTCAGAGTTGTTGCGGCTGCCATCGTCGAGTGCCCCGGCAGCCGTTGGAGTAACTTCCTTGCGAAAAGCCAAGCCGCCACCAAGGAGGGCTCCGCCCGAGCCGACGGCATGCTTGCCGGCGTCGTTGGGTGCGTGGACAGGACTCATGTCTCGATCCTGGGTCCTCGAGACACGCAGACGGTCACCAAGGCGGCATTCTGGTGCCGAAAGCACCACTACGCACTGATTGTTATGGTGGTAAGTGGTGCTGTGCATTTCCTTTGCTGTCCTATTTCTTTATGCACTGTGTATACGGTCTGATTCGGCAGTGAATTGAGTAGCAACTAATGATTCCTGTGCGGACGCCGCGCTTTTGAGTGGTACACCCGCCGCCCAACTTTCTTTCGGACGGCACTTGAAAGTGCGAGTGGAGTGTCGTCGAACGGCACTCTAGACACAGCTTTTTTTTTTATTTGTCAAGTTTATTGTATAAGCGCATAATCATTGAGGGACCCATTACTTCATTTAAAAGGAGCAAAATAGTCAAAGCAAACAGCGGGTATTGGGGCGGCGAGGTCGTCGCCGCTCCGATACCCGCTTGTGAGTGAGAAATGACCTTGTATGCGTTTGCACTGTATGTCGGATTGTGATCCTCCTATTATGAGTATGACCAGTGAACACTGGAGAATAAGTTACGTTGCGAAAGCGATAGTTTGGACAAGCATTTTTTTCTGAACATTTGTGTGATAGGCTAACTTGTGAACGAGTTTTTACTGCGCATCTTTTGTGGCTTCAGTGACAGTTAGAGGGAGCTAAATCCCTTATGTTCGGGCTTCTGACAAGTCGAGCAAAGATTGGTGTGTGGCAGTGATAACATTGAGATCATTATGTATGTGACAGTTGGAGAAGAACTGTACATTTAAGTTCTTGCATTTGTTTGCCAACATGTTTCTGATTCTATTTCCACTAGCAGACAAGAAGACCATTCGTTCTTGAATATCTGCAAGGAGTAATCTATAGCTTGTTGTCTTCTAAAGACACTCACACACAATCACGCGCAGAAGTTGTCTTGTTTTATTCATTTTATTCATTTTAGGAGAATAAGTTATTCATTTTAGGAGAATAAGTTTGTCCAACAAGTACTGGAACCGACTTAATTTTTGCAGGGACCTAATATTTGCGAACTTCTCGACTTAAATATTATTGAAAAGAATAGATCCTGAAAACTTGTTTCCCTATGATAACGAGTACGGAGAACTCCAGTTTGCAAAATTTCATGCCCACTGACTATCCCTGAGTGCCACAGTTCACCAAATTTTAAAATATCGAGCACGCAAAAATGAAGTCATTTACAGTAGAGAAAATGAAAAGCGAGGCATGCAGGTGAAGAACATTTCATTTAGTGTGAGAGGTAGAATTTTAATTTGGATCGACAATGCTTGCACTAATAAAAATAATGTATTCGTCCCTTCTCAGAGCCTAACAAAATTAACCATAGGGAAAAGGCTTGGCCATGGATTGCTGATTCTTTAGTAATCACAGCATTTCGTTGGGATTTCATGTGAATAATATAACAAACTGGTGTTGCTGTCTTCTGCAGGTGTGCGACTTCAAGGCACGCATAATCTACATAGACCCCAGCATGCCTGGTAAGGCCCATGACAGCTATGTCTGGAAGTGGTCATCCCTTCGAAGGGCAATGGAAAGCGGCCTCCATCAGCCTGGTGAATTCCCGCTGGGTAGAAAATTAAACTAACATTTCACAACGGTACTTTACAATGCGTTGAATGGTGAGGCCGCTTTACCGTTTGTCGCTGGCGTCTTCTGTCTTATGCAATAATTACCAAAACAACCAACATGGACGTATGTGGACAAATAGTGACCTACTGTATCTTGCACATCTGTACGACTCTTCATATTTCTAATTATCGAAGCAAATAAGCCATTGCCAAAAAACAATGTAATTGATTGTTTTCCTTATTTATACAAGACAAACTGAAAAAATTAAACTATTTTTTTAATGGGATATGCACCGGTACATGATCCCATGCACGCGAGACATAACATTCCGAATGGCTGGGCAGATAACATAATTTTGTCGAAAAAGTCTGAAATTTATCATTTGCTAGGAGTCTTTTACAAATCACCTTATAGGCCCGATGAGAAGGACATTAAGCAGGTTGTATGCTATAGAGTTGAGGTAAAGTCTTTACTTAATATTGCGAAATAAGTTGTTGGTCCCTGAATGGACTGCTCCAGTTTATGCAAGTGTTAGCATAGTTCATGTATTGTTTAGTTTGATGGGAGTATCTGGATTTGCGTGCGAAATGGGAAACAATCTGAAGATCGGTCCTTTTCTAAGAAAAATATTCCTTTTTCTCGTTTTCGTTCTTTTTTTTCTGTTCTGATTTGCTCGCAACAAAAAGTTACGTAAAAGACAAACGAAGTAAAAGCTAGGAAGAAATCTCAATGCCTTAATTTGCCCAAAAGATGACTGAGTTTACTGTGTTATGCCTGATATAAATCTTTTTTACTTAGTGATTTTTTTAATTTCAGTGCAAAACAAACGCCTAAGAAAGCGTCAAATGGTTAAACAACGGAAAATAATACTGTTTGCAGCATTGTCTTTTGTGGGAAAAGTTTGATTTAAATTATCGTAGCCGATTTAAATCATGATTTAAATCACCTTGAATTTTATTCTCCACCCCGTAGACAACGCATCATGATGCTGACGCTGCTGTCTCTTATGATGATTATGACTAGGACTATGATAATAATGATGATGACGATGACGACGACGACGATGATGATACGCGACGACGACGACCACGATGATGATGAATACTGTCACGGTTGGTGACCAAAAGAAAACAGGAAATAAACAGGGAGAAATAAACGTTTAATGTGGCGAACTTGTGCCGAAAATAAAGAAGGGAACAGAAGAAAGCAGAGCGTCGCGGGCGTCGAAGTCGGCGTGTCAGCAGAATCGAGCGCTAGGGCGAGACTGACTCGACAAGGTCGCGGGCGGCCTCTTATCTAGAGTGCGCCGCTATCTCGAAGATTCGGCGAAAGCGGTTCGAGCGTCGCGTGATCGGGGCGAGAATGAACACGCACTTTCTAGAAAACAAAAGCAGGGATAAATGATAGAAGTTACGTGCGGTACATGAATAAACGGGAACTTTCTGGAGGACCGTGACCGAGCGTTGCTTTCTCAGCCTTGCGCGCGGCATTACTCCCCCCTTTAAAAGTGCATCGCCCCGATGCAGTGTAAAACAAATAAAAAAAATAAAAAAGAACGATAAACTAAAGAGTCTTTTGGAGCACAAAAGGTCCACAGTCTTATCGAGCGTAGTACGGCTTCAGGCGCACGACGTGGACGACCTCAGGTCGTGGTGGGCGGCGTGACGATGTTCGTGTTCCGTCGGGCATCACCTCGTAGTTCAGCTCGCCGAGGCGACGAAGTACCTTGTATGGTCCAAAGTACCGTTTCAGCAGTTTCTCACTGAGGCCGCGGCGACGGATGGGCGTCCATACCCACACCCTATCTCCGGGCTGGAAGTGGACGTCCCTGCGACGAAGGTTGTAGCGGCCGGCGTCGACGCGTTGCTGGTCTTGAATCAGGAGTCGGGCGAGCTGGCGAACTTCTTCGGCGCGTTGAGCAACCGCCTGGGCGTCGTCGCTCTCGTTGTCAGATGGCTCATGGGGCAGCATGGCGTCCAGCATGGTCGTTACCTTCCGACCATGTACCAGCTGGAAAGGGGTGAATCCAGTGGTCTCTTGAAC